TAGCAACATATCACTAACCCAAATAACACACAACGAAGTGCTATTCATCAACATCCAATTCCCAGTAAGCTCAAAGTTGCAATTGATTTGTCAGGTAAGTAAACATGAAATAGGGATTGCAGTCATTCCCATTTTAAGTGTCCAACTTTATATAATGCCTTATATATATATATATATATATATATATATATATATATATATATATATATATATTATATATATATATATAATATATATAAGATATATATATAATATATATATAACTCTCAATGAATAATATGAAAAACTCCAGTTTTGACTACATACATTTCGCGCATGGTTCATATCATACTCACTAATAGCCTTTATAGCTGCCTGATTAAAGAACAACATTTGACTACATAAAAGTATAAAATTCCCAATACTCAAGTCCCAAATATACATATCAGGTATTAAAGATACAAATATGTTACCTTTATTAACTATCTTTCATGACAATGATCCATGAAGTGATTTTGAACATGTCAATCTAATACTTGTTCTCTAGCAAGAACCTATGAAACCAGTTACATTGCTTTGTTAACCATTCTAATTCATATTAGTCTTACTTCATTATTTTTCTCACAATAATTATCGACTATGGATTTTAGAGTGAATAAATTTACTCAAGGATTAAACAATTTAATAGAACTTAAAAAAGTAATTAATGAGAAAGATCATATTCCATATATATAAACATCATCATATTAGTTGATGTCTTACATAGTTCTTATAAGCAATACTAAAACAAAGATCAAACTCAATCACTAGAATAGAAAATTCTGATCCCTCGAGCATAACCTTCAAACTAGGCTTGAGGAAGAGGCTTCATGAAAGGGTACGCTAAATTTTGATATGTGTGTACTTTGCGGATACTGATTTCACGATCTTCAACTTGATATCGAATGTAGTTGAATCTTCGATTAATATTCCTTGTCTTCTTGTGTGATATGGGTTCTTTGGACAAAGCAATAACACCCTGATTGTAACAAAATATTTCTGGGAGATCCCGACAGAAGGAACAACAGCTAGATCTCCAATGAATTTCTATATCCAAGCAACTTCTTGTGTAACTTCTAAAACAACAATTTATTCTGACTCTGTAGTGGACTGTGCTACAACACTGTGATAGGAGCTTTTCCAATACACTACACCCATATCGATAATAAACACATATCCTAATTTTTACTTACAATCATCCCGATCTGTTGTGAATAAAGCATCAATGTATCACTTTACACTTCAGATTTCTTGTACGCCCCCATGGACGAGGAACATGTCCTTAGTTCTATGTAAGTACTTAAGGATGTTCTTCACATCTATCCAATGACTCTCCCCTGTATTTTTTTTGGTACTTGCTTGTCATGCTCATAGCACAAGCAAGATCAGGTCTAGTACAATTCATAACATACATTATGGATCCAACTGCCGAAGAATATGGAATATCTTTCATCTTGTCTAGCTCAGCCTTTGTGCTAGGACATTGGAATGAACATAGAACTGTGCCATGTGCCATTGGTACATATACTCTCTTGGATTTTTCCATCTTGAATCGTTTCAAGGCTTTTTCAATATATGTACTTTCGCTTAAACCTAATAATTATTTCGATATATCTCTATAGATCTTTATACCAAGAATGTATTACGCCTTACCAACATCCTTCATTAAGAAACACTTTCCAAACGAAGAATTTACACCTCATAATGTCGGAACATGATTTCCCATGATAAGTATGTCATCCACATATAGGACCAGGAAGGTCACCGAGCTCCCACTAGTTTTCATCTAAACACAAGATTCATCTTTGTTTCTAACAAAACCATACTTTGTGATTTCTTCATCAAAGCGATGATTCCAATTTTTATATGCATGCTTTAACCAGTAAATACATCTCTTGAGTTTACACACTTTATTAGGATGTTTTTGATTAACAAAACCTCTCTTTATTTCGTCCAGGGTTGCGTCAACACAGGTAAGTAACCTCTCTTTATTTCGTCTTTTTTTTAACCAGTAGATCTATTGGTTGTTCTTCCCTTTTTGTTTATAATGTAAGAAATTAGAATTGTTACTTGTACGACCTATGAAAATAAAAAATCAGAATTATTGTTGTTTGAGCTTTTAATTTCCTTGTATGAAATCTGAATTTTAATTGTATGAGATATATATGAAATCAGAATTCTATTGGTATGTTTTATGAACAAAAATATGGAAAAAAGCCCCTTTTTGTGTATGTATGAAATCAAAATTTGTTGATAGTTTGGTATGTATAAAATCAGAATTTATTGTAGCTGGCAGGGTTTGAGGAATTGGTTGAAAAGGTTATTGTAATACTTCAATCTTAACTGTTTACATCGTTTCACTTTTGGTTCCAATTTACCCTCTGTTTTGACTTCCTAAACTTAGAACTGCATTCTCACAGACAAAAGGTTAATGAAGTTGAAACTTTTCCTTCTTTCCTATCAGATGCATATAGCTGTTTTTCTTGTGCTTTGGGTATATTACCTGGAATATGATTTGGGTTTTTTGTTAAATCTTTTAAATTGCTTAATTAGGTTACTGAAATCATGGGAAAAGGAAAAACTGGAATTCTATTTGTTGATTGGGTTTTGATTGTTCGATGTAACAAACACAGCTGAAGTGACTAAATATTTCTTGTTCCTGGACAAAATCTTAGGAAAGATATTGAAAAAGGTGTTAACCATTTTGCCCCTAATAATTTCCAGGTCAATGATGAGTTCTATTGCTCCGGATCCTTATATATTGAAATATAAAGCGACTCATACTGATGATTAAGCTTCTACAAAAATAGACGAAACGATGGCTGATGATGAATGGAATAGATTTTGTATATGCTATTATGTGGTTCTTTTTGGTATAGTTTTGTTGTAATTGTTTCAGTTTGTATTTATACAATCTTATTTCATTCAATAAATATGGTTTTTAGTCTAATAATTAATCGTTGACATTAAAAAAAAGAGTGCATCTATGTTTTACCGTTTCTAATTTATAAATACTGTATTAAATCTAAATTTTTGAATGTTGTAATCAAGATTAAAATTCGCTGTTATGAACTTATGATGCTTGAATTCATGTGGGACGCAGGAGATGATTGTATATCTATACAAAAGTTTAATGCTTTTATAAAAAATGTAATGTTTTAAGTTAAATTGTAAATTATAAAGGACTTATTATAAAGTATGTTGTTTGAGGGTAATATAGTCATTTTGCACAATCAGTTAGATGCAAAATCAAACAGCGAGTTTCAGTCAGAAGTTAACTCGGTCAGAACTTCTAACTCAGTCAGCTTCTAACCCAGTCAACTCTAACCCAGTTAGCAACTATCAAACGACCCCTTTATTTGTTATGGTAATATTTTGTTTATGCTGATTATTTACTATGTTTCCATGGATTAGTTTTCATATATTGATTCATGTTTGTAGTTTCTATGTAGGTAGGATGGTGTTGTTATATGTTTTATGTTTTTATTTAAAAATGATTCAAAAAAATGTAGTTGTTATTTATGTTCATATAAGGAATTCATAGTTTTTTGTTTTAGTAGTATTAAATATCACTTTAGATGTTTATTTAAGTAACCTAACTTATTCTTCATGTTTGAAAATATCCTTTGTAATCAATGAGAACTGTTTTTTATTCTTTGATGTTGTTTTGATTTTATTATTTTTTAACATCATTTGTTGCTGTGTTGTATTTATATGTAGTTGAATCAAAGAAAATGAAGAGATTATATCTTCAAAAAGATGCAACAAACAATTTTGTTGATGTTTCTTCTAACAGAAAGGCATCATTAAGGTCTAATTCTTTGGTAGGTATTTCATCTTCTTCCAAAGGAGCTTCATCAGTCAAACTTCTTAAAGTTAAAAAAGTTGACAAAGTCATTACAAGTATGGATGATGATGATGATTTTGTTTTCGCTCTTGTTGTTGGTCAAGTAAATCGAATCCATCAGTTTAATCTCTACTATCCATAAAAGCGTTAATGATAATCAGAAAGCTGCAGTTAAGGAAATAGGGTTTAGATTTCTTGAAGAATTTGTGCTTAAAAAGTTTAGTAGGGAAATTTGTTCGTGGGTTCTTGAGAGATATGATGAAAAGAAAAAAATTATTTGTATCAAGAACAATGAGATTCATATTACTAGGAGAGGTGTTCATGACATGTATGGTCTTCCAATGGGTGATATTCCTATGAATTTACCTAAGAAAAGTCGTCCTGCGATTGTTGTTATAAGAAACTGGTGGAATCAGTTTTCTATGACTAGGATTAGACTTGTTAATCTCATAGATTTTTTAGCAAAAAGTACTGATTCAGGTTTTATGTTCAGATTGAACTTTTTGGCTCATATGTGACCATCATGGTTGATGGTCCAAGTATGGGTACATAAATTTTTTTGAAGAAGAAGTGTATATAAAGATCTTGATTGGTATGTTTAAATTCTATCATTTTTTCTAGGATTTTTTTAAAATTAATTATGAATTATATATATATATATATATATATATATATATATATATATATATATATATATATATATATATATATATATATATATATATATATATATTCATGTTATGTAGTTATTGTATCTTCATTGCACAAAGACATCTTCAGAATCATTGGATAGGGTATATCCTGCCTTGTCTTATTGGTCTCCAACAAAAGTTAAAGATAAATTGAAAGAAGCATTTAGTAATGTAGGTTATGAAAATGTTGAAGTCATAAAAACATATGAATAATTTGTTGATGATGCAAAAGCTAATGATTCAGAAACGGAAACAAGTTTATCTTTTTTTTTCTTTTCATTTTTATGAAATATTTCATTTTTTATAATCTTATTTAATTGTTTTTTAATATTTTAATTTTTAGATGAAGAACACATATTCTAATGTGATGAGAAGAAAAATGCTAAAGAAAAAGATAAAAGAGAATGAAGAGAACATATTTATATCTGTTGTTATGAGGAAAAATGGATAAGAAAAAGATGAAAAATAATATTCCTTTGAAAAAAAGGAATAAAATTTCAAATAAAAAAGTTGAAGTTGAACAAGTTGAAGGTAATTTTTTGTTTTTTTAATTAATTTTTATGTTTCTTTACCTTTATAATTTATAACAATTTCTATTATTTTGGATCATTTTGTTAAAGGAAACAATATTGTTCAAGAGAAAACAATTGAGAATTAAGTTAGAGAGGATGGTAAGTTTTTTTCTTTATGTTTTTTTTTAAATTGATTTTTATTTTTATTGACCTTTATAATTTAAAACAGTTGCTATTCTTTTGGATCATGCCGACAAAGGAAAAAAAGTTTTTGAAGAGAACATAAATGAGGAGCGAGTGAGAAAAGATGGTTAGTTTTTTATATATATTTTTTAAAATTGATTTTTTATGTTTATTGAATTTTATAATCTTAAATAGTTCCTATTTTTCTGGAGAATGTTGATAAAGGAAAGAAATTTATTCAAGATAACATGAATGATAACGAAATGAGAGATGATGGTAAGTTGTATTTTTTAATAATTTTTTAATATATAATTTGTAATTTTAATGTAACTGATTTGATTAATTTGATAATCTCAATGAAGATTGGATTGATAGCGGTCATTCTATTCCTCGATTTGATATTATTCTTGATGGTTCAAAGTCTTTAGAGGTATATATGTTTTTGCGTCATGGTTTTGAATCATATTCTATTTGTATCATTTTTTTAATCTTTTTTTAATTTAATATTATTTTTTTGGATTTTAAGGAGAAGATAGATTTGATGCTTAAAAGTTATAGTTGTTTGAAGCCTACTATTGATGATTGGATCAACCGTGCTTAGAATCAATTCCCAGGCAACCAAGAGATTTTGAAGTATGATGCGAGACGTAATGCTGAATTTAACCAAGTTCATCAAAATCTTATGTTATTTTCTGGTATAGAAGTAAATCAACATGTTGAAGTTTCTAAGGAGTTGTCAAATGTTGAAAAATAAAATGAAGATGTTCAAGTTTCTGAGGAATTAAGAGATGTTCAACTTGATCAACTATCAGTGACAAAATTCTTGAATCATTCTATGGTTTAGGAACAGTTGGAGGTGTTAATGAAAACAAATGAAGCTTTGGAAGATGATTGTATCAAGCAAAATAAAATGTTGAGCCATCCAATTGTTTCAAAGCAGTTTCATGATCCTGATCCTATTATTTCAAACCCTTCAGGAAAGCCTTTTCCTATTTTTTTAGATCTAGCTTTGGTTATTGGTGAATATTCTACAAGAAATGTAGGTCAAGTTGTTTGATTCAAATACGTAGGGTTACTTGAAAAATTGACTAAAGGGAATTTATTGGATTCATAAATTGGTTTAGATAAAGATTTTAGAACACCAAATGATTCAATCCCTCTTAATATTTCTATAGAGAAGATTAAGGAATCGATCATTTTTTCTCCAATACGAATACAGTCTTATAATATCAATGCTAAGCCAGGTAGACCAAAAAGAGATTTACAACCTTCTATAGCACATTGTTCACATTATCATAAAAAAGAAGTAGATACAACTGAACGCGTTTCACGTTTGGAAGAAAAGGTTGCGGGTTCTCTGTTTTTGGCTATTCGTAATCCCAAATATTTCCTTATTGATGTTTTTTTAAATTTAGTATATATTTTATAATGATAATTTTTTTAGGGAAAAGATTTATGAATCTGCCAATGGATTTGTTGGTATAAGATATGTGATGGAGTCTCTCATACCGGGTTGTAGGATTAACAAATATGTAATAGATTTATGATCTGCTTTTCTGGATGATCTTGTAACATTCCGTTCAAATTAAATAAATAATGAACCCTTAACCCCGAGATGCAAATTATATTATTTTTAATGTTATTGTAGCCCTAATTTTGGAATAATTTAGCTAGGCGTTGGTTTTGGGAGTTAAATGTCATAACTTTTGAATATTGGGGGTTTAGTGTAATTTCCGGATTAGTTTTGAAAAGAATTTCGAAGGCTGGGGGGTGTTTGATAAATTATGGATTTAATTTGAAAAGGATTTCAGAAGTCAGGGTATAATTGGTAAATATTGGAGTTAAGTTGAAAAGTTTTGGTGGAGGAGGGGCTGAACTCGAAAAAAATGAAAAATGTTTGAAAGGAACTCGCGATAAGACCCGATGCCCCCTTCATTTCCCGTTTCAAGATATGTCACCAAGAACCCTAACCCTAGCGCATCTTTCTTCATCCGCCACCATTCTTGGAGTCTTTCAGCTGCCGCTACATTGTTGAGTCCGACTGCCGCAGCTACTTCGCCATTGAAACGCCACCACCACTGTCGGACGTCGTGAACAGTGAAGAACATCACGTGGGTCGTCGGAACTATGAGGCATGGTCGCTGCTGTCGTCCGTCGGCCAGGACGCAACCTCCGGTTCCCTGCTGCAACCACTCCTTCCCTTCCGCCTTTTCTGTCGTTGTGCTGCCGTCGTCATCGCTATTCCGAGCAGTGGTCATGGTGGACGTTCTTCTTCTCCGACTGTCGTATGTCACCATGAGGGTGGTCGAGAATAGGTGCGCATTTCAGTGCTGAACTTGTGATCTGAGTATGTTAGCATGTGATTGACGATTGTTGGCTACTTTGGGAACCAATAGAGAACCCACCACCATAGTGAGGTGGTGGCTGTCGCCTCCAACCACCGCCTACCACCCCATGGGTGGCTGTATATGTTACATGGGGTGTGTGTGTGTGTACATTTCCTATAAAATGATATGTTGTATGGGTGTTTGGCTGGAGCAAAATCAAGGAAAACCCGCCAGCACCACAATGAGGTGGTGGCTGCCACCTCATACCACCATATTGCCGCCATCAGCCGCCACCTTGGGTGGCTATGGGCTTGTGTATGTGTTTGGACTGATGAGTGAGAATATTGTGATGTTGTTAGGCCTAATATCGTAACCACCACCACCGTGGGGTGGTAGTTGCCGTCGTGAACCACCGTCGACCACCACCGCCCGAGGTGACAGTGGGTGGTGCCCGGCCTAGTGAAACTCTAATTAATGTAAAAATTTAACCATTGGACTAATTGGGATGTGATTGGGTTGGAAACCCTAATTAGGGTTTAGAAAACCCTAATTATGGATATGTTAGTTTTGGATTGTCGGGACCTACGTTTCGACCAGTGGATTGAAGTCATGACTTATGCTCGATTACGTTGTATGTTTGGCCTAGTGAAGTGATGGACTTAATGGATTAAATCATTAATGGGTTCGGTAAGAACACTTAACCCTAATCGTCATTTTATGTGAAAACCCTAATTATGTTGGGCTTCAGGTTGGGCCTTTTCTCTTAGGCTTAGGTGTTTGGGTTCTTAATGGGCCATCCAAGAACAAGTATATGGACTAGAATGTTTGGACGGGCTTTAGGGTAAGGCCCATGTAAGGGGCTTGGGCCCAATTTTCCTTGGTTGGTTATTCAGTTTTTAGGCCTTCAGAGTGTGAGTTTGGGCCTTGGTCTTGGACAAAGCTAGGTTAGGGGTAAAATGGTTATTTTACCCCAAGTATGGATTTATGGTTATGCATTGAAACCCAAATGGTTAATTGGGTTTTGTTTTCATGTTGATAGTTTGGGGATCTGTCAGCCAGCAAGCAGAGATTTATTAGCAGGACTTCAGCTGATCGAGGTGAGTTTCCTCATGTATGAACGGGTCGAAGGCACCAATGACGTCCCATATATATATATATATATATATATATATATATATATATATATATATATATATATATATATATATATATATATATATATATATATATATATATATTTGTATGGTCCGGACTAAGGTCCGATGTCGCGCGGTGCCCGATGTAGGTTTATTTGTTTTCCAGATTTCGGTCTGATGCCATGCAATGCCCGAGGAATGGTTGTATGCTTAATGTCTTCATGATTTTTGCATGTTTATGTATTTGTATGTTTCCGGCTTTCGGTCCGATGTCGGGCAATGCCCGAGGAATGTTTGTATGTTTTCGGATTTCGGACCGATGTCGGGCAATGCCCGAGGAATGTTTGTATGTTTCCTGGATTAAGGTCTAATGTCGGGCGGGGCCCGAGGAATATTTATATGCTTATGATATGTGATTATTCTATGTGTATTTGTTGATATGTTTATATGTATATAGATATTTGCTCGATGTTGGGCGGGACCCAATGCCGAACACTGTCCGATGCCGGGTGGGGCCCGATGAAGCGGGCGGGGCCCATGATATGTTATTATGTGATTATGTGTATGGTATTTGGTAGTTTGGGGAAATTCGCTCAGCTTCGTGCTTACGGTTTTTAGTTTTTGTTTCAGGTACTTCGGGTAGCAAAGGGAAGAGCTCGGGATGACTGCATTGGACACACCATGATGTTTAGCCTGAGATGTTTACTCTAATATTTTGACATACGTTTTCATATGATGTTTTGACATACTGTAACTTATATCTTGATGAGATGATTTTTGTAACTATGGTTTTATTATGATTTAAAAGCGAAATTTTTAGTCTTGAATTTTGGGAAGTTACAAGTTGGTATCAGAGCCTTGGTTTGAGGGGTTCAGGTACACTTTCTGGTGTGTCTGAACTCATACTGAGGACTTGGTAGGAATCTTTCAAAAAGAAAATCTTTTTTATAAAAAGGATTTTAAAAAGAGAAAAGGGTGTGGTGCATGCAATCAGTCGAGCTCATGTAAGTTCTCCCAAATTACCCATACACGTTTATGTTATGATATGAATTGTGAATATGTGAACTGCATGCTAGATTAGGGCTAAGGATCTAGGAAGGATGCCTTGTATGCCTACTGTATGAGCTTATTGAACTGGATGCTAGTACTGATTAGTCAGTGATATGATGGCCTGATTAGGATATGCTTGGTTTTGGTTACTCAATGCTCGAATACTGCTTTCTGTGTGCTTTTAGGAGTTCTAGATATCTTTAACTAACTAGTAAACGAATACGCTAAGTTACATATTACGAGGACTAAATAATTTTAGAATGTTAGGTTTAGCCTTATTTCGCAGCTCTCGTTTGAGTCTAACCATTGTAGGGAGAGACCTCTCATTCGAATAAATATATGGTCTTAGTAATATGTAATGGTATTCGCGAGCTAGTTAGGGAAGGGTAGCAGAGACTTCTTATGCAGCTGATGGCGGATAGTTGGTCGGAGATTACCCTAGGGTAAACCTAGGATGAGATTAGCGCGAAAAGCAGTAGTAGTGAAAAGGGACTTGGTGGAGTCAAGGCAATTCTTGAGGAAAGTACGGATAGGTGTGGAAAGTAGTATGGGCCCGTACTACTGAAAGCATAGGATCTGTACTCGAGTCAAGGAGGGCTGAGATAAAACCAGGGAACTTGTAGTGTGTGTGATCCCTCGATTTATGATGAGTATTCTGATGATTGCTACGGTATATATTCGAGTATGGTGATGCTACGTGGTAGACCAGATGGTAGTTCTGGTGCAGGCAAGGGATCAGGCTCGGACTCTGGAGTCGGACAGTTCGATGATCAGATGAGGGACTTCATTTCATATGAGATCACGCGCAGTATCATTGACCAGACTCCTGTGATCTCCGGTAAGGTCAAGGAGGGCATTTTGGAGATTCTTGATGAGAGGCTGAGCGCATTTCGTACTGAGATGGTGGCCATGATAAGGACGCGTACGTTGGCGTTTTGGGAGTTCAGAATTCCTGGAGCTTCAGGTTATCATGGGCTAGGTATCCCACTGCAAGAAGTAGGTGGTTGGCAGAAGTAGCCAATGCTTCTCGTACCATCCGTTGTCCCGAAGGGGACAAGGTCCGACTTGCTTCCTGCCTCCTGAAGGAC